TATATATATATATATATATATATATATATATATATATATAAACATATTTTTTTTTAACTATGTAATAATATTTATAAGGATTTGTTACGGAAGAAGGAATGTCGAAGCATATTTACTACATACATATAAACATCATGACTACGTTCCATGTTTTACGTTCTCCATATCGATCTTCACTGATTAAACAACTCTCTAGATAATCTGCTAGAAATACAACAAACAAAATAGAAAGAGACAACACGAAACACAAAGCAACAATCAATATTCATACATATACATACATACATATATCCTTGCAGATTTTGTAATAATTTTCATTTCATATACATACATACATGTAAACAAAATAACATTGAAAATATCATTTGAGTCATCCATCATATAAAAAAAACTATCTGTCTATCAATTTTTCCGCTCATGTGTCTTGGGATCGTAATACTATATTCTAATGTATAGCATCGTAAGACTTTGTTTCTGTGAACAATTTGTTTTTTTCCTCTTTTTTTTTTTTTCATTTCGATTTCGTATTTCTAAAATAAAATTGGATTAACATCGAACGAAAAAATATGCAAAACTGCTTCACTTCAAGGATATTTCAAGAAAAATAATACCATAGAGAGCCCAACGATCATATATATGTATGTATTATATGTACATGTACATATATCGTTTCTTAGTCGAAAAAGTAGAGCTTGCAAATTTAAACTCTAAGAAAAGTATTTTGAAATGGGTGTACAAAATATTGTGTAAATGTAACTGAAATAAATATATATATATTCCCAAAACAAATATATATAATCCCAAGTAAATAGCAGACTAAATTCATATACAAACATATACGTACAAAATATATAGCCCTATAGAAAGGCTTGTAGTTTTTCTGCATAATCGCAGTATTTCAATTTCTAAAAAAAAAAAACAAAATAGACTCGGAATTCTTGTACATTAACCAATGCAGAGCGCATTCGGTATATTATTGATTTCAAACGTGCGCTTAGGCGCCGCAGCTACAAACAAAATTGTTGGTTTTTTTTTTTTATATAATGTGCATTAACTAATTTAAACTGACGGCAGGAGGTAGGAGCGGCAGCAGCAGTAGCTGCTACTCCCAGCCTGCTACTCCTCCTCCTCTTCCACATTCGTTTACGACCAGAGCTTCAGATGGGCGCGTTTTGCATAAGATTTCCAATCAGAGTGGGCATAGAACTCCTTGAATATGGGCGTGACTAGTGTGTCCTCTGGCAGTGTCTTGAACACGGGCTCACCATACCAGGTGCCCACCTGCCAAAAAGAAAAGAGAACCAAACTTGAATTACCATCATTTTATCTGAAATTCAATAGTCGCAATTTACCTCCCAGCCGGGCACGTTCTTCATGAGTTCGGCTTCCTCGTCGCGATTGCGACGCAGCTGACGCAGAAATTCACGATCGCGCTCCGCAATCAATATTGGGAAAATGACATTCTGAGCCGAGCGCATTTCGATTTCGTCGCGTTTGACTTTTTTGGCTGTCAAATAATAGATTCCCAGACCCACTGTGGTGACGGCCACATAGGCTCCAATCATGGTAAAGCCTGCAACAGAATATACATAGATAGATGTGTCTATGTGTGCATAAATCTCTGCTTGAACTCACCTGTGAAATAGCTCTTGGGTGGCACGCGAGCAAAGGGAATCTTCTTGTATCCACCGGGTGGTGGAAGGTCCTGTTTTGGGGGCACATGCGGCACGGCCGTCGCCATGTTGGCTGCTGTAATGCACATGGATGCGCTCTGATAACATTTTCCCTCTATTAGTGCATATCTATTTCGACTTACGCTTTAGTAATTTGTTAATAAAATAGGAAATCTGCCAGTCAAAATTTCACGACGCCTTTTGCATAACACGCAGCGTAATGTGACCACAGCTGATTGCTATTAAAATACCAAAACAAAATATTACCACATACACCACTATATATATTGATATAAAGGAATTCTCTAATTTGCCAAATTGCCAAGTGGTACAATAACATGTATTTGGCCTTAATTATTACCAATTTCCTAGTTTGAATCGTATTTTTCACTATAAAACGTCAAAGCACTAAATACTGGAACAATAATTAAAAATGCTGGCATCTCTGACAGCTGTCAGTTTCACTTCAACTTGAGCTACAAATATATTGTACATTTATTTTAATTTCAAATTTGTGTGATTATAAAATACAAATTGTGTTGTTACAAATATGGCATATTTGCGAAAATTGTTTACATTCCAAAAGTGCTCATTATTCCTGCACCAGCACCGCTTCATTAAGAAGTCTATTTTCCCCCCAACGTCGCAATGCGCTCAACCTGGACTTGAACAGGAAGCATTTGATGTGCTTCCTGAACGAAATGAGGTAGGCAAATAAAACTTGACATAGACGAATAATTGGTAAATAAAAAATAAACAATTTAAACATTGCGCGGGCGCCAAGACACGCAACTTATATCAGCTGTGTTTTGTGCAGGTTACACAGCATTTCATTGGTACTGCATTTATCGATAATGCAAATATCATGCTTGCTCAACGAAATAAATAAATCCTATAAATGTAGTGATCCTCATTTCTTGTGCATTACAAAAACAGTTTGAGGATCATATAATTTTAATATATCAATTAGCTTATCTCTTGTGACGATCTGCTCGACTATTAAAAATTATCGATATTGGACACAACAACAACGACTACAATCGACTGTATGCAACTGAAAGCCAACCAACCATTCGAATTCGAATAATATTTTAACATTCAGTTGCCGCGCAGCTGCCGTATAGGAAGGGAGAGTAGGAAACTTTTTTCGCTCGCCGTATAAACGCCACAAGAAAAAGAACATTTCCAAATTCTTCACTGGGGGAAAGCAATTTTTTTCTGTGTTTGTGCGTGTTAGTGTTTAAAAAAGAACACAGCGTTTGAGTCAACTTCTTCTCAAAATAAGCAGCCAAATTAGCATCAATCATGTCGATCGTTCGCATTTCTGCACGTAAACTTGTCGACGCACAGGTGAGTTTTCCACAACCCTGACCCACCCACGACCCAACCGTACGCCTTGACCATGTAATAACTGTAACTGTGAAATGACAAAAAATTCGCACGTTTCGCTGTTGTGGCGGTAGCTAAAGGATCCTCACACTCCAAGCGTGGCTTGCCAGCAACGCCGCGCGCATTCATCCACATACACACATATACAACACGTTCCCTAAGTACGCGATTGTTCGGCCTGTATAAGTGTGTGTATCCACGCGTTGTTGTTGGCAAAAGAAGTGACACGCCAAAAATTCAGCCATGTGCTTGTGATTATTAAAAAAAATTACAAAAAAAAAAAGAGAAAAAAACTATTCGGCGCAAAAAATGATTGCTGCTCGTTTTTGATTGCCTCGTAAAGCTTCTAATCTAGCGGACCACAGTAAAATATATTAGCAGTTGTAAATTCAGTTCAGAATAGCCAAGTATTTTAGCTATGTGCTAATTTTCCGGCAGTAGCGATTACATAACCGAGCAGAATTTTCACTTGGCTAAAATAGCGAAGCGCGAATCTTCTTTATAAATAAAACTCTCACCAAACGCAGACGCAGTCGCAGTCTCAGCGAGCAGCGCAGTCTGAGTTTAATGAACTTCTTCATCTGGTGGTGCCCGTTTTACCAGGGGCATCGTTGCCCGTTGTGTCACTCATGTATTAAGCCTTATTTTTGTCGTTGTATAATTTCCATAAACGTGTCTCTTTCGTTTTGGAATTTGGCTTAAAACCACGCGGCGTCTCTGGCCTTCGTCTTGTAATGTTACAGCAACAAAAATAACAGCGACAGCAATGACGCTCTCTCAAAGAGCGGCTCTCATCAGCAGCCGCACAGGCAGTGCTGCCAGATTTTCAAAAGCTAAATCTACAAAACAATTTGCTAATAACAGCTAGAAAAAGCTATTTTGTAATAACTGAACATGTTAGAATAGTGATTTATAAGAAGGAGAAACTAGTATATCATGAGCCTAGCCATTTATTTTTTTTATTTTTATGAAGCTTAGTTTATTTAGATAATTAAATTATTTATTTAGATACTTTGTATAATTTATTTTTGTAAAAGTCGAGATTACTTTTATTAGCAATATAAAAGCTTTAATTGTTAATTATTAATATATATTGAATGCTCAAACCGTTTAGTTTTACTTTAACAAGTTTCATAAATCAAGAATATTTTGGCTACTTAATAGCTAGAAACTGCCCGTGGCGACATCACTGCGCACAGGTAGCTGCTCATTTTATATTTCGCTCGCGCTGTTGCTATGCCTCTCTTCGGTTCCAAATCGCGTCACGTGTTGTTGTTGTTACTGGTGCTGCCGTTGTTGTTGCTTGATGTATTTTGCATAGAAGATGCGTTGTTTCTGTTGCCAAATGAGTTTTTGTCTGCATTTTCCGATATTGTTGTTGCGCCAAAAAGATTGTCCGCCGAATGACCTTTAAGCAAAGAGCGCATCTCCGAAAACTGTAAAAGAACAAGAGCAAAATAACAAAATTAACCGCCACGTATGTATGTGCACAAACAATCGTATATCAGCACACATACACACATTCAAAGTTCGTACGTACTGTGAGTATGTGCGGGTTATGTAATGTCGAAAAATTAGTACACAAAACTTGGCAAAAGTTTTGTATTTTTCTTTTGTAACTGAAAAATCAATACATAGCTCCTGGCACGCCCACAAACCGACAGCCACAGACATACACACATACCCACACAATAGGTTCAAAGGACGAGCCTCCTTTGCAGCTTTTTATTGTTGGTGCTTTGCTTTGGGGTGTTTTCGATGTTGGGCAGAGTGCGTGCAAGAGAGAGAGAGAGAGAGAGAGTGAGAGAAAGAAAGAGGAAGAGACTGAACGCGAGTGAGCAAGAGAGCGGGTGGCAGTGAGATAATGAGCGATTGAATATGACGCAAACAAAAATTCGATGCGTAATACGTAAAAAGTTAAATAATCTATTTTGCGTTTTCTAAATGTTATGTATGCGCCCAGTTCTTTTGCTATGAGATTGCCGCTTTTTCGCGTTGTGAGTTTGGCGTGGCGCCAAAAAACGCGCACCAACTGCAAACGTCCTTCACACTGCTGTTGTATTTGTCGATTTTGTTGTTGTAGTTACTAAAAATACATATGTATGTAAATAGGTAAACGATTCTTAGGGTTGGCGAGCTGGCGAGAGCTATTTGCATCCTCCTCTTCCGGTTAAAAATTTGAAGTGAAATACTTTCGATTTGCAAAATCCGAACTAAATATACATATTTTTCTGTTGTTCAAAAACAACACACCAACGACGACTACAACATGACACGCAAGGCCTTTCAGCTGCCGCAGCAGCAGCAACAGCGGCAACATTTGACGTCCGGCCAACTTAATAACAAACACGCGAAATTTTTTATCGCCCAGACGCTAATACGTCACGATACGTGGCCAGCGCTTACGTAAAAAGTTTCTCGTTTAGCGTAGCGTTTCTGCCCTTTTGGCAAGCGCCTTATGTGCGTTTGTCTGTGTGAGTGTGTATATATGTGTTTGTGCGGGTGGCAGGCAAAGGTTGAGCTTCTTGCTCTGAACAGCTGATCATACGATTGCATAATGAGAATGTCATTCATTTGCACCCAATTTGAATTGGCATTCGAACTCAAATTCGAATTCGAAATCAAGTTCACATATACACAGTATGCAAAAAAAGGGAATTCAAATTTCCCAAACAAACTGCTGAGGTCCAAAGCGGATGAAGCACAAAATATCTTTTGTATTATGCACTGTGCTCTGTGGATTTGCACATTTCACTATGTACATAAATTAAATTGTTTGATTTATGGTCGTCGTTGTCGTCGTCTAATCTTTCAATGCCCGTGCCAATCCAATCTCAAGTGGCTTCAATTTTTGGAGAGGCGTGCGGCTCACCTGCACTTTTTCTGTTTATTTTTTCTTCTATTCACTTTGCGATTTCAAAGTTGCGAAAAATTCCCGAGATATTTTTTAAGCTTTATGCTCGGGCCTCAGCAGATAACAATGTGTGGCGTCATGGAAAGTTTATATTATATGGTAATCAAATTGTTAGCAATGATAACTGTGATAGGGAGAAACACGTCAAGATTTTTTGGTCATGTGATGTAATCTGTCGCAGGTGGGGGGCGGGGCTGGGCGGATCGTTGCCAGACACTGAAATTGCATTCTCATTTTGGTATTGCATTACGTTATATTTACATTTACAATCATTCCGCGAATGCCACTAATGCTGCCCCATCCCATGGAGCTTAACTGATAAGCATGACAAATTTGTGTGGGGGCACATGATCGAGATCGAAATCGGAACACACGCACATGCGATCGATGTTCGTGAGCTGATTGTAGAAATAATATATAAGTATATACATACAGACGCCCAATAGAATGGCAAAGGAAAACAAAAGCAAAAAAAACGGAAAACGTTGAACGGTGAACGAAAAAGTGTTAATTTGATTAGGTTCAACGATAAATGAATTTATACGGCATAATATTTATAGAGTGGAATGCGATACCCCCAAAACAGGGGGTTCAAATATTTGCATAGCTTTCGGCCTACTAATGAGAGACTCAATTGCAACAATTGCAAATATCTAATCAGAGCTGGAAGAAGATTCAAAGCCTTGACTTCATCAATCAGTGTAGCTCTAATTGGAGCTTTGCTTTTTTGATTGATGATGACTTAAGGTTGATAATCAAGCTCTGATATCTATATGGATGTTTGGCAAGAGAGCGTTAAGTGGAACATTAACAACAAACATACATGCATATATATTTGTATGTATTTACAACTTGTTGCTCATGTTGACATCAATTGTTAACATTGACAGTAAAGTTTACGGAACACGTAGTTCCCCTTCCACCATCTGGTAATTGTGCTCTGCGACTAAAAGCTGACTCAGTATGTTCTCCCGCTCATCAGAGTTTCTGATTAACGCGCATGTAATCAACACAGACAGAAATCCCAACGAACCGATCTGAACCGAACGTCTGGTTACGTCATGCACTCTGCTCCGTAACGTTGCTAACTGTTTACTTTCGGAACGAATAGGTTTTTTTTTTCTTTTTTTTTTCTTTTCATTTGTATTTTTGTTGTTTTGTTCGCGATAATAAAGAGGAAATGCAAATAGCAGTAGACACAAGACCTTAATTATAGCGATTAGGCTCCGAACTGCAAGATAATATTGCAAATAGTAGAATAAAAGAAAGAATAGATGAACTTGAAAACGCAACTTTTATCGGTTAGTTAGTATTAGTCAATTACGGGATCGGGCAATTGAAATAGTCACGCGAATGAGAAACGATAGCGAAAATCCAAGGAAACCAGATAGAGAAATGGAGCGAGCGAGAGAGAGAGAATAGTTTGAAGAGAAGAGGCAAGTTATTAGGCGTGCTGTTAGCATGGATAAACCATTTAACGTCAAGTCACGGCCACTTGACTAGAACTGCAAGTTGCATTTGTGTCAACTGGCTTATCTGGCTAGCCTTGATGCCAAAATGAGTCGAGATGCCGTTAGTATTTAGTATTATGGCAATTCGAGAGAGCGGCTCGCATGGAATTGTAAATTGTGAAGGTTGCGCGCGTCAAGCGTCTGACTTTGATGATGATTGTAGAAAATTATTATTTAACAAAAAAAAAAGACAATCGTATTGTTTATGGATCTGTTTGTATTTAATTAAGCTGTCGTCGTAATTGCAGCTTAGATTAATTAATAAGAACAGCAATAATATTAACAAAGTGCTATCCGAGGAAACGAACGCTCGCTTATGCAATACATTGTCGCCGATTGCGCGGATCAGCAGACCTCTAATCTCTAAGCTGGGGCCGACAAGAAAGCTAACACGCGACCACGATTTCCTTGCTGACCATTTGACCATATATGTACAAACAGCATATAAAATATATAGTCGATGTATGGAATCTATAGAGAATGTGAGCGATAAGTTAAACGCGTGCGAGACCGTTGCGGGGACCTTCAAAATTCGAAGTGCTTATCAGCAGTGCTCGCGCACCCCCTGCCTGCCCCGAAGCACCCTCTCGACCCAGAAGGCCGGCCACCGCCCGTGAAACTAATCTGATTATGTTCATGACTTTTTCACATGGGTATGCATACAACTGAAATTTGCGCAAAGAAAAACAGCAAATAGCGCAGAAGACAAAGCTAGCACAATGATAGAAAAGAACGGGAACAAATAATCATTTATATTTTTAAGAAGGTAGCGGCCCAGCGATAAGATAGCAAAGCCAACATGAAATCGAATCAAAGCGCTCGAGCGGGCGGGTGGGCGGTTGGTCGGTCGTGCGATTGTGCGTGCTCCGGCCCCCACACGTTATGCAACACTATTCCGCAAAAAGCAGAGCTGTTTGACATGTACACACATATGTATGTGTGTACGTACATATGTATGTGTGTGACGCATCATGTGTGGCGCTTAGTAATCTCACTGTTATGCAAGCCTCTTTCGCGCGCGCTCTCCCTTTCTCTTTCTCTCTCTCTTTCTCACTGTCACTTTTTCTATTGCTCACACTTTGCTCTCGGCATTTGCGTGTGTTTGTTATTTGAGCTCTTAGCGCATAATTAGCACGAGCCAGAATCAAATGGCAACCAATCTACGACAGCTCAATTAGCACCTGTTTGAATGGCAGCAGCATTCGCGTCGACAATGTTGCGGTTTGTGCACCTGACAAAACGGCGTTTGGTTATTTGCAGCTTCAAGTGTCTCACATTGCATTTCTGCTCGTCTAACGGCCTTTCTCACCCTTTATTTACCATAATGAGTATTGGGTTTCCATAGAATGTGGTCACTCGATTATTTAACACAGCTTAATCGATTGATACTAAATTACAATTGCAGATATTAAGGATAAGAGTTGGAGCGTCAATTTGCAACGATTATTGTATATTTTTTATATATATATATGTACATATGTACACTCATGTATACAAATTAAATGCAGTTACTTTGTTGCACGCTGAAATTGAAATTGAATGTGCATAACTTGCCTCTTGCCATTATAGTAATGGCTGACGTACCAGTCAGCTGATTGACAGGCCATCTCATAGTATTTGATAATCGATGCAAGGCGTTCACGTAAATTATAATTTAATTTTATCAATGAAATCGCGTTTTTGGGGCCGGTCCAGCAAACCGGTTTGTGTGTGTTTGTTTGCGCACAGACAAATCAATATAATGCATAAGAGAAGACGAGCACACACACATGCATACACTTAGCGATCGCGCAGCAGGCTTACATATACATGTGCATTTACATACATATGTAGCAGGCATGCAATCCAATTTGCAAAAGTCCTCCGCTTGGCGGCGCCACAAGTTCACTTGGTTGATTAAATTTGCTGACCCACTAGCCGCAAAAAAAAAAAAATAATAAAAGAAAACAATGAAAAAACAAAAGCTGACGAGCCGATAAACCGAAAGAGGGGGGGAGGCGCAGAGGGAAAGCGCGAGCGAGAGACGGCGAACAGTGCTGTCAATCAAATAAAATTGCACTTTGCGCTTGAGCTTGGATTCCGTTTTCATTTCCATTTCGTTTTGTCTAAGCAAACGCCACGCGTGGCAACAGCAACAAATGCCGTCGACTAGGAATTTCGCTGTCATTTAAAGTGTGTCTCGCGATGGGCTGATCTGAAGTACAACAAAAAAAACTATTATCAAAAACTAGTTGTAACCGGAATCGAGGCTTAACTAACAGTTAAACCTGAGCTGAACTTTGCGAGTGGCGCGCTTTTGTCGAATTACATGTGTATATGTATGTGTATGTACATGTATATGTACATATGTTTGTATTTCGGCTGTTTTGTTTTTGCATATTCTTTGTAGTCAATTACGCTACAACAATAACAATAACAATAATAACAACACCAGCAATAATAAGCAAATGCAACCACTGGGGCAATGTCTGATCGATGCTGAGTCATGGGTCTGAGAATGGATGGATTGCGGCTGGTGCTATTGCTGCAATCGTCGCTTTGCTTTGCTTATCAACAGACGTGGATTGTCTCATGTGTGCATCAAAGTATGTGTGTGTGTTTATTTTGTGTCCGTTGTGTTTGGGGATTGGCGCACCTTATCAATCGCATTGATGTTCCGCGTAATTTTACGCTTAAATTGCCTGCTGAAGTGCAGTTCAATGACAGATGTGGCAATCGTTATCGATAAATCCCATTAAGTGTGACAATTAAATGGCCTTGAGGTGCCGCACATTGTCCATTCCCTTTAACGTGATCGAAGCAACAGTGCTGGTACTTTGGCGCGAAAAATATCTATAAAAAAGCTGACTGGCTACACTGATGTTTACTTTTAATGTTTGGTGTTTGTTTACAAATATGTTTATTTATTGTTTTAATTTTCTATGTTGCAGAAAGTGCCAGCTATTAGTGGTTATGTGCGTCAAATCGCTTCTGATGGCGCCAGCCTGCGCGAGGTGATGGCCTGTAAGATTCCGCAGGAACAGGAGCGTGTGAAAGCCTTCAGGAAGCAGCATGGATCCACCAAAACTGGCGAGACAACCATCGATATGATGTACGGTGGCATGCGCGGCATCAAGGCTCTGGTTACCGAGACTTCTGTGCTGGATGCCGATGAGGGTATTCGCTTCCGTGGTCTTTCCATTCCCGAATGCCAGAAGGTACTGCCTGCCGCCGATGGCGGCTGCGAGCCACTGCCCGAGGGCCTGTTCTGGCTGCTGATGACCGGCGAGGTGCCAACCAAGGCCCAGGTCCAGCAACTGTCCTGCGAATGGGCTGATCGCGCTGCACTGCCCCAGCATGTTGTCAACATGCTGAACAATATGCCAACGACCCTGCATCCAATGTCCCAGTTGTCTGCCGCCGTTGTGGCCCTCAACCATGACAGCAAGTTCGCCAAGGCCTACTCCGAAGGTGTGCACAAGAGCAAGTACTGGGAATATGCCTACGAGGACAGCATGGATCTGATTGCCAAACTCCCAGTGGTGGCTGCAACTATCTACTGCAACACCTATCGCGGCGGCAAGGGCTCCCGTGCCATTGACTCCAGTCTGGATTGGTCGGCCAACTTTGTGAAAATGCTCGGCTATGACAGCCCCGAGTTCACCGAGCTGATGCGTCTCTATCTGACCATCCACAGCGACCATGAGGGTGGCAATGTATCTGCCCACACGGTGCATCTGGTTGGTTCAGCTCTGAGCGATCCCTACTTGTCATTTGCTGCCGGTATGAATGGTCTGGCGGGTCCATTGCACGGACTTGCCAACCAGGAGGTACTCATCTGGCTGCGTAAGCTGCAGAAGGAGGCGGGTAACAACCCGTCGGAGGAGCAGCTTAAGGACTACATCTGGAAGACCCTCAAGTCTGGACAGGTGGGCACACTAGATAGACCCATCATTGCCTGATGTGCGCTTAACTAACTAATTTCTCTTTGAATTAGGTGGTGCCTGGATATGGTCATGCTGTGCTGCGCAAGACTGATCCACGTTACACTTGCCAACGGGAGTTTGCACTGAAGCATCTGCCCGAGGACGAGCTGTTCCAGCTGGTGTCCAAGATCTACAAGGTGGTGCCCCCAATTCTAACTGAGACCGGCAAGGTCAAGAACCCCTGGCCCAATGTTGATGCTCATTCGGGTGTCCTGCTGCAATACTACGGCATGAAGGAGATGAACTACTACACTGTGCTCTTCGGCGTTTCGCGTGCGTTGGGCGTGCTCGCTTCTCTTGTCTGGGATCGTGCTCTTGGCCTGCCCATCGAGCGTCCCAAATCCCTATCCACCGACATGCTCATGAAGATGGTCAAGAAGTAAGCTAAGCAACAACGCAATTGACGGATGGACGGACTGCATTTCTAGCAGTGCAGCGAAGTGTGGCAATGGGAAGTTCAAATGTAGCAAAGCAAAGGAAAAGTAATATTAGAAAAAAACCTACAATAAATCAATGAGAAAATTTGCAAAAACAGTAGCAAGTAGCAAAAACTAGACAAGAGGGGGAGCTTGAAAGAGGGATAGAGCGAGATCCAGATAGAGAGAAATACAGAGATAGATAGAGAGAGAGAGAGTGCGAGCAAGCGAGAGAATAGGGGGAAAATTGACGATAAATCATGAATATATAACTTTAACATATATGGTAGCGAATAAATGTGACGACATCATGATATTGTTAGCTTGGCCAACTGAGCGAACTTAGAAGGGCAGCAGATGAAGATGCAAACAACCAAATATGAAATCACAAGCAAGACGCATATGTATATATATGTATATATATATATATATGAATCTATATGTATATATATGTATATACATATGTCTCGTAATTGTATGTATGTCTTTATATACATTTTATATATGTATATATGCATATGAGCATATGTTGAAAACTGCAACAGCAAAACAATAAGTTGAAAATAAGGCAACATTTAAATATATATTAAATAGACTAGCTAAATTATGATGGATGAGAAACTTATAACGAACAGCAATAGAGAAAATAAAATCACTAAATAAGTTGTAAGCTCTATTTATACCATATTAAGTTATATAAAGGGAGATAGCTGTTTGCACACATACACGAACACAAAAGAACACCAACACGCAAACAGACACACACAACACACACACATACAGACCCCAATCTATCCTGTTTCAGCATTTTTTTTTCAATTATTTAGAGGATCTTTTCTTGTGCCCTTTCTGAACTGCTTATTAAGTTCGTTACTTAACTACATTTTAAGCCAATATTATGTTTGAGGCGTTTCTATACATTGACTTTACTTTACTTAACGTTACCCAAATACCCGAACCACTCAAAGGCCCGCCTAAAATCTAACAACTAACTTGATAACAAGTTTACTTTTAATTTACCCTTTAACTATATAGTTTTTTTTCTTTTTACGTTTACTTTAAATACGATGGAAACATGTTATTTTATGTAATTTATTGCAAACCAGTAAATATAATAACGAAAAATAAAATACATACAAACAAGTGGAAAGACATCCTCTACACAAAAATTTAATAAAAAAAAAACGGAACAATAATATACAAAACAAATTCAATTGTGTTTTTCTTTTGGTCAGCTGAATTTGAAATTGCGCGGTATATGGAGTGTGCTTTAGAGCTTTTATCGTCTTGTGGTACAAGACTTATCGACCAGCCGCCACAAATTTGAAATGTCGATACCGACTGTTTGGCGTTTTGCAGCACTACTGGCTGCTGATTTGTGCACCGTGTTACATCACTTAGACGAATTATAGGTAAATTGAACGGGATTTGAGCAGTGCTGAGCGATAGAGTAAACAATTAGTTATATCTAATAGAAATGTGCCTAAAATTGTCGGTTCGGAACGCGATTTCATAACAATCCCAGGAGCCCGAAAGGCCGCACTGCCGTGAACTTGCGGGCTGCGTGTTTTGGATCGCGTTCGCCGGAAACATAAACATACGATGAGCGAAAGCACAAATCAGGTTAGTTGCTGGTCAGGTATAACAGTGCAAATCCTAAACTGCAGACGCAACACGGGGCCAGTTGAAGAAATTATCAGCGTATATGTATATTTTTTCGTTGATTACGATTGCCAACACACACAAGCATAAATAAACTGCGCCGTTGCAGCAGCAATTGCTCGTCTCTTTCTGTGTGTGTGTATGTGCGAACGTGAAAAGCCACACAAAAGTTGAAATTTTGCCTTGAATTTCTGTTGTTATATATTTTGTTGTTTTGGTTTAGTTATGCCTTTGAAGTCATATTTTGTTACGTTTTCCTTTTCTTTTCAGTTTTGTGCCATTGATTTTTGAGTCTATCACCCCAAAAATAACGATAAACAACAGAACAGTGAAAACCCAGAAAAAAAATTAAAAAAAAACATACAAAATTAAAAAAAATATATAAAAAAATTTTAAAAATACCAATCCTGTTTTCAAAGCAGCCAAAACCAAAGCCGATACCGATATCGATACCAATATATCGATACCAATAACAGTAGTGAAATCAACGTGCACTTTTGTTATCATTTTAGAGTCAATTTATTTTTTTTTTGGCAACAGTATAAACTGGGACTGGGGTTGGGGCTGGGGACGGGTATCTCCTTAGGCTGCATACCTTTTGTTTTGTATCAAAATTCTCTCTTCATTTAAAAAACAAAAAAAAAAAAAAAAATTAACGCAAACCAAACAAATGGCGGCCTACTTAAATCGCACCATTTCACTGGTGACCGGCCAAACGGGCCCATCCGCCAACGATAAAAACTCGACAACGGGCAACGACACCGTCGACGATTCACGGCATAATATATCCCTGCAAACGTCCGCCTCGTCCACGTCGGCCAACATGACCGGCATAACCGACAACCGCATGTATCAACCGAATGACAAATCGCCGCTGCAGATCTTCGTACGCGCCAAGAAGAAGATCAACGATATCTACGGTGAGATCGAGGAGTACGTGCTGGAGACAACCACCTTCATCACTGGTAAGAAAGACCATTGTCTCTGCATTGCATAATTAATACGTCAAACTAAAAACTAAACAATTGCAGCGCTGCATGCGGATGCGGAAATCGTGGACAAGGCGGAGCGCGAACTGTTTGAAAGCTATGTGCACAAGGTGGCTGCCATACGTGAGGTACTGCAGCGGGATCACATGAAGGTGGCCTTCTTTGGCCGCACCTCCAACGGCAAGAGTTCGGTGATCAATGCCATGCTGCGCGAGAAGATTCTGCCCAGCGGCATTGGCCACACCACAAACTGTTTCTGCCAGGTGGAAGGCAGCGACGGCGGCGAAGCCTATCTCATGAAGGAGGGCTCCGACGAGAAGCTCAACGTGGTGGTAACTACTACAGGGGTCCATTCCCCTACACACACACACACCCACACCCGTAGACACACACCATTTAACAACAATATTTGCATTTTGCAGAACATTAAACAATTGGCCAATGCCCTGTGCCAGGAGAAGCTCAGCGAGAGCAGTCTGGTCCGTATATTTTGGCCACGCGAACGCTGCAGCCTGCTGCGCGATGATGTTGTCTTTGTGGATTCCCCGGGCGTTGACGTGTCTGCCAATCTGGATGACTGGATTGACAATCATTGCATCAATGCTGATGTCTTTGTGCTGGTCCTCAATGCAGAGTCGACAATGACGCGGGCCGAGAAGCAGTTCTTCCATACTGTTTCCCAAAAGCTGTCCAAGCCAAACATCTTCATATTGAACAATCGCTGGGATGCGTCAGCCAACGAGCCCGAGTTTCAAGAATCGGTAAGATCTAGCCTTTGTCCAATTTGTTGTGCACCATCTGAGGACTGTAAGCCTATTTGTAAATGTTGTATATTTTTCATTACCTTTGTTTACCACCCTACCAAATACATAATGTGTGTGTATCTCTGTATCTGCGCCAGGAGCTGGCTAAGGTAATGTTCTATCCAGACCCAGTTTCCTGACACATGAGCTTTTTTGTTTTGATTTGCCTGCTTGCCCATGGACATGGACATATATATAATGTCTGTGGCTGCAGCTAGTTCTTTGTTTGCATTCAGTAATACATTCCTCGAAGATCTCAACTAATAAATTGTTCATTTATTTATTTTTTTTATTATTTTTTGTTTCTGTATGGCTGCTGTTGCCTTACTATCTGCAGGTGAAGTCGCAGCACACGGAGCGCTGCATCGATTTCCTTACCAAGGAGCTGAAGGTCAGCAACGAGAAGGAGGCTGCGGAGCGCGTGTTCTTTGTGTCGGCGCGCGAGACGCTGCAGGCGCGCCTCGAGGAGGCCAAGGGCAATCCGCCGCATTTGGGCGCCATCGCCGAGGGCTTTCAGATACGCTACTTTGAGTTCCAGGACTTTGAGCGCAAGTTCGAGGAGTGCATCTCACAGAGCGCGGTCAAGACAAAGTTCCAGCAGCATAGCTCGCGCGGCAAGAGCGTCTCCGGCGACATGCGCTCCATGCTGGACAACATCTTCGAACGGATCACAATCTTTCGCAACCTGAAGCAGGATCAAAAGAATCTGCTCACCGAACGCATTCAGGGCACCGAAACGCAGATGATGCAGGTGACGCGCGAGATGAAAATGAAAATTCACAATATGGTCGAGGAAGTGGAGGAGAAAGTGTCGAAGGCACTCAATGAGGAAATCTGGCGATTGGGCGTCCTCATTGATGAGTTCAACATGCCGTTCCATCCGGAGCGCCTGGTCCTCAACATCTACAAAAAGGAGCTCAACGCCCACGTGGAGAGCGGCCTGGGCAGCAATTTGCGCGCCCGCCTCTCCATGGCGCTGGCCATGAACGTGGAGGCGGCACAAACGGAAATGACCGAACGCATGCATGCGCTGGTGCCGAACGAGAAGCTGCTCACGAACAGCGCCAAGCTGGCGGTGCGTACGCAACCGTTCGAAATGCTCTACTCATTGAACTGCCAGAATCTGTGCGCCGACTTCCAGGAGGATCTCGACTTCAAGTTCAGCTGGGGCATCACGGCCATGATACAGCGATTCACGGGCAAGATGCGCGAGCGCAGCAAAAAGCAAACGCCCGCCTTGCTCAATCGCCAGAGCAGTATTGGGGTGAGTCCTCTCCAGCAGCCGTGCTCCATGTGGCAGGACACACATTACAAGTTCTACTTTCTTTTTGTCCTTCAGCACACCGTCGTTACGCCCGTGAGCACGCCCGTGGAGTCGACGCCCGTTTGCCTGCTCCCCGGTACGGGCGTGGGTGGAATTACGCCCGAGCAGCTATCGGTTATATCACGCTTCGCCCTGTCCTCGATTGGATCGCAGGGCACAGTGGGCGGTCTAGTTGTGGCGGGCGTTGTAAGTATTGCTGGGAGAGATTCCTGATGCGGTTTGCCGGCTGTCCAAGCAGGATCTTTTATATCGCTATACGCTAAAACACTGACCACTTGCAGATGCTGAAAACGATCGGGTGGCGCGTCCTTGTTGGCATCGGTGCGCTCTACGGCTGCATCTACCTGTACGAGCGTCTGTCCTGGACCAACTCGGCCAAGGAGCGTGCCTTCAAGAGCCAGTATGTGCGACATGCCACCAAGAAGCTCAAAATGATTGTCGATCTCACGTCGGCCAACTGCAGCCACCAGGTGCAGCAGTAAGTGAATCAATCAATCGAAGGCTTCAGTAACCCTAAAGCTGAATCGGAATCGCAATCTGAATCCATATTGAATTTACTGCGTTGTTTTTAGGGAACTGTCCAGCACATTTGCTCGTTTGTGCCGCACTGTGGACACCGCCACCACCGATATGAATGAGGAGCTGAAGACGCTCGAAGCGCAGCTGAACGTGCTGGAGGCCAATCAGAAGCAGCTGAAGCTTCTGCGCAACAAGGCCAACTACATACAGAACGAGCTGGACATCTTCGAGCACAACTACATTGCGCCGCAGTAGATGCTGCTAGAGGATCTGGCCAAACGAACACTTCGACGATGACAACCAGAAGCAGAAGAAACAGAAGAAGTAAAAGAAGTAGAAGTAGAAGAAGAAGATGCTTAACAACAACGACGACAACTTTACCCCTCTTTCAACAGACAGATGAACGTGAAAATGAAAATCCTTGCAACCCTTTAAATTAATTCCTTCATTCAGTTTTTTTATTAGACACTTCTGCCAAATTGTACCGCATGTTCTGTTCTTTTTTTTTTTTTTTTGCTTTTCTTTCTGCTCGTATTTTACAGATATTCAATTTTTTTAATGCTAACTTGTTGCAGTTAAACTCTTATATATAACTGAACTGTTTTTTTTTTTTAGTTTTTTAATAATTATACACATATATGAATATATTGTAATTGTTGTTGTTACACTCTGTACACACTCTGTGACATGGCCGGGCGCCATGAAAACATAAACATAAACAAAAGCAAAAATTTAATAATTATATCTTAAACATTATATTGAAACGATTCTTGTTTATACTCAGTCTATAGATAATTGTGTATATATGATCTATTGTCTATTGTCATTAGCATTGTCATTGTCATTAGCATTGTCATTGTCATTATCATTTTGTTTACTAAACAGCTTCAGCTGTGCCTTAAGCCCAGAGCGAGAGCGGAAGAGAAAAAGGGACAGGAGAAGACATGACGAGCGAGAGAGATAGATATAGTTGGCTGTTGTGTGAGCGAGAGCGCATGCTGGCGCATGTAATTCTGAAAAAATATTGCGAAATTCTGATTCATTCATTTGGTTTTATTGATATTTTGCTAATTGACGTAAAATTCTATACGTATTTCATGGATAGGGTATATTTCTGTGAATTTCAAGTACGTACGTGTGTACATGTATATAATATGTGTGTGTGCAGAAATGTACAATGATTTATAATAGAAGGCGATTCTTGATTAGTGACTAGATTAAAAATGTATATACATATGTATATGATACATACATTGTATTCTTACCTCTGAACTTAGCAGCAGCCAGGTTGAGGATTTTTTATATAATCTGAAAACATTTTATCAATAACAATATCATTATTATCAATAAAATTCATTAAAAAAAACATTAAAGCTAATAATAAAACATAAAACATCAACAAAAATTAATATTTGAACCTCTTGGCATAGGTTCCATTACTTATTTTATTTTATACTTTTCATATGCAATATAGACCTCTCATTGCACTAAAATTTGCATTATGGGGAATAAAGATAGCTACATGAATATGAATATACTATGTACATTTGTATATTTATATACACCAATATATTAGATATACATTTATGCATATACATATATACCTATCTACATACTGTCCAAATGTATATATGTATATACCTAGTTCCAATCATATATTCTTCATTGCAGTAGATTCTGCATTACTTGTGAGCTATAGAGAACTATTGTAAAGTGATTCTAACATTAATCTATAAGCAAAACAGTTCTTAAACTAAACGATTATTTTTCATAGAAACCCACAAAGAGATGTGAGATATATATACAATATCTCGATACATCAGTCAGGTCTTATATGCATAAATAAAGCCAAAATATAAGTGTTTGTATATTATGGAAAGGGTACGCTATAGTTATAAATGGATATACCTATATAAATATAAATATACTATATGTATATCCATCTATAAATATAGATATACACGAATATATGTATATATCTATATATATATCTATCTATATAAATAAATATAACCCTTTTCATAGTATACAAAGATTTATTTTGGGTTTATTTTTCAGCATCATAAAAACTAACGAAAATCGGATTATAGAATTTTAGCTAGCAACACGTGATGTGACTAACAAAGAGACTAGTAAAGTCGTGCACTCCGACTCTAATTTTTTCATTTATGGGCTTTACTATGGGCAATGGCTGGTTGCATCAGTTCCACTCCAAATGCACTTTCATTATCGAATCAACTAATTTGCCAAAACAGATGTTTCTGCTAATTAATATATGTTTTACTTTCGCAATTTTGTTAGAAAAGTGAAAGGCATGAAATATACGCAATACTAAAAGTACTAAAAATCTGTGAATCATTCGAAATCTCTAGCCAGAGAAGGAGAGAGGGAGTGTACTCCAGATCAAGCAACGCTTAAAAAATCAGTTAAAATATTCCTTCTTTTTTTTTTCGATAACGAAGAAATGGAAAATTATAAATATAAGAATATAAATTTTTGTATAGCAAGGTTATGTTATATAGGAATATTATTCTCAAGTTCATAGAACTAAAACGGCTCAACTCGAGGCTTTGATTTGATTAAGCTCTTCCACAATATAAATAAAGCCAATGTAACATGATTTCCCATATAAATTTAGGGTAAATAGACCAAAAAACATTTAGAATTTGCTCCATTTTCCTGAGTAGCGTCTGCTTAAATATCGTAAAGCCTTTCAGTTGGGTTTACTGCACCCATCAAATATCAAAAACTTTCTCCTTTTCTTTCATATTATTTTTCAAGCTCCATTTAAATTTATTTATAGAAATTACAATTAGCAAGGATTTCAGGTTTAGCCTATAAATCGGGACACAATTCAATTAAAATTAATTAGATGATTTCATTATAATAATATATGCATGTATAGAGATAAGAGATATATGTAGGTATATCTATATATATGTATATATCGTAAGCTGCTGCTATTAAGGCCAACTGATGGATGTAAATTCAAGAGTTTTGATGTATGTATGTATGTATCGTATATGTATATAGTTTCTGTTTAGCAGACTTATTCATATGCCTAATAAGTTGGTTTGCTTTTTAGCGTTATCTCATAGGAATAATACAAATATGCGAGAGATGCCATCTCTATATTCTATATAGATGTGAACATTTACAACATTTACAATCCAAACAACTCGAAGAGCGAGAACGAAAACGAAAACGAGAGCCTTAAGTAATTAATTAATTAACATACATAATTAAATACAGGAAATTTGATAAACATTTGTTTTCGATTCTTTTTAATCTCTACAAAGTTAAAATTTGCACTTAATGTTATATGAAAAGAGAAATGCATTTACATGTTGTCTTTTGCTTAATTTTCGTTTTTGGTTTTTGAGTTTTCTGGTTTTTGTTTTGTTTTTTTTTTTTCTTTTTTTATAACGTGTTTTCAATATTCATTTTTGCTTTCTTTCGTTTCGATTTTTTTGTTTGTGCCAAGCAATTGATATTTAAATACAAAGAGCACAAATAATAATAAAAGAAATGTATATATATGTATGTTTCTATATATACAAGTGCGTGTAAGGATATATGATATACAATTAGATAGGAATATTAAAATAATCGGCTGTAGAACCGGCAACAAAATACAAGGTTGAACAAATCTTTTGAGCATAATTATGAATACAATTCTTGAATTTATAATGCATATGTGTTGGATTGTTTGTGTGTGTGTGTACGTGTGTGTGTGTGTGCGCGTTTTGGTCTCTCTGCTGGCGGCTGCCGTTTTGCACGGCTAGTTAACTCAATCTAGTTTTGATCGCTGGCAGTGCGAAGCGAGTCAGCCCTAAAGCGGTGCGACTAGAGGGCGATCGGTCGGGCGGTTGGTCGGTCGGTCGGTCATTGGATGGTCTGGATGGTTCGTTGGCTCTGCTCCATGCACCGTAGGCGTGCTTACAGGAAATACGGCGTCGTATTCTGTTTGGGTATAACGCGCTCCGAGTCGGGCACGGCCAGAAAGATTTTCGTTTGCCGCTGCTGCGCCGTATCGAAGCTGAGGATGGCCGCCACGTTGCCACAGCGATAGCAATAGTTGGGCGCGGACCAAACGGTGACTAGCTTGCCCTCGAACATGTACTTGATGCCTTCGTTGACCAGCTGGTGTGCCCGGCAGATCAAGTCCAGATTATTGATGGTCATGAAGTCTTTGGTCACATTATGGCCAAATAGCCAGCCGGCGCCTCGCGGACTCTGGCCCCTAAAATCAAACGTTAGCTCGGCCAGGAAGGGATGTTTTCTTGTCGCGGCTGTATATTTACCAGTATTCCATGTCCTCGGGATCGGACCACACCAGATCACAGAAGGCGCCTTTATAGGGTATCTCGCCGTTGCGCTCAATTGTCCGTATTTGATCTAGCGTTATAATCTCCGGACTGAGCCCGCCATGCACGCACAGCACGCTCTCGTCAATGATCTACACACGTGTAAAAAGCAAGCGAAGATTAGCATCACTCTTCCTCCCACTCCCACTCCCCCTCTCTATTTTTCTCTCTCGCTCTGTACGTACCGCAGCAATGGTGAGCAGGTCGAAGACCTTACAACAGTATTTCCAGCCATTCGCATTGCCATATTTGCTGAAGCATTCGTCGAAGAAGCCATACACCTTTGTTATCTGCCGCGTCTCGTGGTTGCCTCGCAGCAGCGTAATTCGACTTGGGTATCGGGCCTTGAGCGTGAGCAGGCGGGTGAAGGTCTCCAGGCTGTAGTATCCCCGATCGACAAAGTCACCCATGAATATGTAATTCGTGTCGGGCACTTGGCCACCCGTTCGGAACAGCTGCTCCAGATCATAGAACTGAAATAAATCGATTGTAAGCAGCGCGCAATTTCGTCTAAGCTGATTGATAAATGATGAGTGTGTTTTAGGGTGACCATTACCTGGCCGTGTATGTCGCCACAGACTGTGACGGGCGTGCTCACTGGCTGTATGTTCGTCTCCTCTAACAGTATGTCGCAGACAATATCACAGAGTTTTTTCAATTCGTTTTCCGGCAAGTACTTGCACTCCTTCACTATGTCTATCCATTTGTCGACATCACCCATTTTATTGCTCCTGTGTTTTGTGCAGCGCACCCAAAGCCTGTTGGTAAAGATAGCGGAAAAACGCAACAAAATCCGCAAAGCAATAAATACCAAAGCAATATAAGAAGCATGTTGAGCGGCAAAATACTATCGATTAGATATGTAAATCAGGCGCGTTTTTCATGGCGCGCGAAAAATTCACATTAGCTGACGATCGTTTCTCAAAAAATACTATCGATATGTTTAACGCACAAGCTGTTAACATTTGCTCGAACTGCACTGTTAAGTGTTTCATAATTCGAATTTGGCGCGAAATGTTTTTATAATTTTCAATGCTTTGAGGCTTTTATTAAAAAAATATTTGCGAGCATGAATAATACTTTGTATTGGTCGGACTAAAAGCGGAAGATTTAGATTTAGCTTGGCATAATGCAATTAAAGCTGTGTCTTAAAAGAGTTGCTATGCCCTTTTTGGCCGTGTCCTTTTTTTTTTTTTTTTTTATGGGTAATGTTTGTCTTATGGCTTTTAGCGCAAAATTAGTTGTAATTAGCTTTTGCTTAAAGCAAATCATAATTAGCATGCAGCAGTGGGACCCAAAAAAACGCGCTGTGGCCGCTCCTTGGCTTACTCCTTGATGCCGGGCTTTGTGTTTCAGCGTATAGAAATAATCACGCTTTTAAATTTTATTGCTGTGGCGCGAGCTGCTTGTTGAATTTAGCTCTCTCTCTGTGCATGGGTGTGTGTGTGTGTGTGGAGCGAGTGTATGTATGTGTGTGTGTGTGCTTTGTGTCAGTGAGGCAGAAACATGCTGGCATCTTGTTGTCTAGGGAATGGCGGCTAAGCGGGTTGAGCGGGCTTAGCGGGTCGCGGCATATCGGACCGGCAGCGTAAGCTTGGGTGTTTGGAGGGTCTCATTAGTGACGCGCGCGCGGTTTGTCGTTGGCTTGGGCTAAAGGCAAGTTATTTGTATTGTTTTGTATTATTTTCCCTCTTATTTTACTTTATTTTATTTTATTTTTTTTTTTGGTTTGTACTCTACTCGACTCTGTACGCTGCGCTGTCAGTGGGGGCAGGCTGACTGTGTGCCATGAAATTGGATTCAAGTGGATGGGGCGGCAGCAAAGGGTTAAGCTGCAGCTGCTTGGTGCGCAGCATGCCAAACTTTTGTCAAGCGGAACGCTAGTTCCGAAAGAAATACAAATTAAGAAAACAAAACGGTAGCTAGCTTACATTTAACCAACGAATTAACTAAAGTAATTTAGTGTGTGTGAGTTTCTACGGCTAAAAATCACTATATGCTAAAAAAAAAATACAAGAGTCCTGCAATTGGAACTATGTTATGAGGAGTTATTAAATAAATATGAATATATCAAATTTGGGGACCCGGCTGTAAAGATGTAGAATTTTATAATTGATAATTATATATATGTACGGCTAAAACATACATACATACATACATATGTAAAAGTACATACACTGCATATGGATGTTGGATCATCCACTGTCACAAATCATCTGGTTCTTAAGCAAAATATCAACAACAACCCGTGTCAAAAATCATATTATATATAAAAATAAAAAGCTAAAATAAGAAAACAAAAACAATACAAATGTTTCAATGATTCAACATAATGTCAAATGTGTTTTGCTTCACTGTTTTATGCGCATTAAATTTGCCAAATTGACAGCTGAGCTGCATTTAACGGTACTCATCCAGCGACTTTGGAACTTTAGCTTTTACTTTCAACTTCAGTTGCCATTTGCCGTGTACTATACAGTTTGGTTGGGCCATTCGGCGAGCATTGCGTGCTGCATCATTAGTACCGTTATTTTATGCTCTTCCGCTTACTGCTTTTCGCCACTTTCATGAGTTTTTTTTTTTTACTGTCGGCTTCGTTTCCGCAAAAGCTGCTGCTGCTGCTGTTGTTGTTGTTGTTCTTTTTCTTCTCCTTCTCCTTCTTCTTCAGTTCTGCTTCAGCATCAACTTCAGCTTCAGGCTTCTTTCCTTGGCGCAATGTTGACAATTAAGTTAAACTTGTTTTCCCTACTTCGTTTCGTTTCGACAATTCCGTTACATCTCTTTTGTCTCTCCCTGCTCTGCTGCTGTCTCTTCTCCTTCCACTGTACTAGCTCTGTGCGTGCTATTCTCTATGTCTATGTCCTGGCAGTTTTTAGTTTTCCCCGCCCCATTACCGCTCCAGTGACCGCCCACACCCTAACTAACTGTTAGCCGCGCTTTGCTGATTATCAATGCTTTCGTCGTCTGCGGCTGACTCGGCCTGTGACTCTGCTGCTGATGTGGCTGATAATTATGTGTCCCATGTCCACCCACTCGCTATTTGCCATTTGGCCATTTCTTTTTCTTTTTGTATACCCTGCACGCAATGGTGCGAATGGGGTATATTATGCGCTAGTATAAGTTATATTTGCCAGGCAGTTCCTTTCTCAGATCTTTCTCGATAAATTGAATGTAAAATGTGCTTAAATTAAGGTATATTTTTTTATTATTTGTTCTATTTTCAGTTTATTGTCCTATATTCAGAGAGACTTTTGCTGGGCACAGGGTAGCGCCTAGTCGATAAGCGACAAATATTTTTTTTAGTTTTTTTTCTTTGCTTGTTTCTGCATTGTCTTCGCCGTCACCGTTGGCCGCATCGAATGGCCATTTGGCCGGCTTTCTTTTTATTGTTGACGTTTTGTTAACTTGTTTTTTCCTGTGCACCACCATCCGCCAGCTGCCAACTGCCAACTGCCATTCAACACTCTTTGGGTCGCATACATAGTTCTTGCTGTCAACTTTTGGGGGCGGCAGCGGCGGTTGACGACTGTCGCTCCTTGACTCTTGTTGCTGTTGTCGCTTTTATTGTCGTCGAAAATTAAATAAAATTAATTACCGCGTGTGTTTGTATACACACGCACACACACACTCATACACACTGACACTCGCACTCATACACATCTACACGCACAGGCACATTAAGCGACAGACTGGCAGACAGGCGGTCTCGACATTAACACACAGTCTGCCTCAACTACTACAGCACCTCAACTTCTGCTGATGCTGCTGCTGCTGGTGTTGTAGTCGACTCCTGCTACCGTTTGACAGTCGCACGCCTTAATTCACGCGCGTGTGCGTTTACGTCAACGGCAACAAACAACAGCCGCTGTAACAGTGGCATTCATAAGTTAACAGCAGGGAGAGGAAAATAACTGCTCTTGTTCTATTCATGTTCATGCCTCTCTCACACTTATCAGCTTCTTGTCTTTTATATTAGCTGTAATTGATCTTTTTGTTGTTGCTTTATTTTGTTATTCATGCTCATTGTTTTTTTGTTCCAGCTCTGCCACAAGAACAAAGCCTTGAGCTAGTTATTTTCAAGTGTTTTTTATTACTATTATTATTATTTTAATCTTGTTACAGATCGAGAGGAAAGAGCGCAGTTTAACAGCTCTCTTTCCAGCGTACAGACTTTTACAGTGGCTTGCCTGGTGGCAATTTATGCGCTGTTATGCTTCACTGTCACAGATCTCTCTCACACGCTAGTGGCCGTTTTTATAGCTCTCTTTCCAGCGCAGAGACTTTACAGTGCACTGTAGTGCGTTAATCAGCTTCATCGCTTGACTGCTCTGCATAGCTTTTATATGTTACAGATCTCTCTCTTTCTTTCTCTCTCTCTCTCTCACTTTGGATTAGCTGCCGGTAATTGCTCTGTAAAGAGCAAAGTTTTATAGTTTTTTACAGCTTAGCGACCTTTACAGTGGATCAATTTGTTGTAGTCTGCTTCATCGCTTGATCAGTTTGCAGCGCTCGCTCCTTCTGCTCCACTGTGCAATATGGGAAGAGTGTGTGTCAAGGGCATCTTCGTCATTATCAGCAGTTAACAGTTAACAGGAGCGTGCCTTCTTGGCTTGCCAGCTGGGCAGCAAGCGAAAACAACCTGTGGGGACAGCGTGGGTGTGACTCGGCCGCCTGAAGGCATAATGTCGCCAGTTGACGGGTGTTGCTTCAAATTACGACTGTACTCCAAATACTGCCGGCTTTATGGCTGCTGCTGTTCACTAGCAGGGCGACTATGCCTCTCCCCGTTCTCGCTCTCTCTCTTTCTCTTTTCCTCTCTGACGCTGCGACAGCCTTCCAGCGTTCCAGCATTGCCACCATTTTAGTATGTGTGTATGTACTCTGTATTGTATTGTGCGTTTGTATGTATGTATATGTAGTTGTGTTTATGCCGCCTGGACATGGCGCACAACACAACAATGAGCAGCACATTAGCAACAACAAATACGCATCTCTGTGTATCGTTTCGTGCGTTTGCGTTGTTTCATTTATTTATTGGGCGCTTTTAACTTTCCATCCAAAAGCAAAGTTGTTGTTATATTGCTCTTAATATTGTTGTTGTTGTTGTTGCTGCTGCTGCTGCTTTATTGCCATTACAACTACAACTATTAGTTGCTGTTGTTGTTGTTTTGGCCTTTTGACTTTTTGGCGCTATGGCATTTGACTTTTTTTTTTTTTATTACTTTGTGCGAGGGAAAGAGTCAAAAAGGCGAATGCGAAGAGAAGCGAAATTGCGCGCAGGAAGCAAAGAAACAAGTGAGCGTGGAGCTGAGAAGAGCGACAGCGAGATAGAGAGAGAGAGAGAGAGAGAGAGAGAGGGCAGTGGGGCGGTCGGTTGGTCTAGCAAATTGTTGTACATAGTTTACTGCGATAAAAACGGGAATAAAAGCAAAGCAGATAAAATTAAATAGTGGCCAAACCAGACAAGCGCACTGAAATGGGCGTTGTGGGCGTGGACATCGGACATTGGACATTTAACGTTGGAGTTCTGAGCAGGTACCCTTGGGCGCTGGGCGTGGCAGCACGTACAAAAACTAATCGTTCAATTAAGTTGGCGAATGTTCAGCGACTAAAAGGCAAAGGGACGCGAGAGGGGCGTCAACGGCAGCTAGATGGGCATAGGTATGGGGATTGGGATTAGAATAGGGAAAGGGATAGAGGATAGATATAGAGAGCAGCATTGGGAGGGACGACAGTCTCCTTAACATACACACAACAACAAGCGGCGTGCACAAAAAGTTAATGAAAAGGCAAAAGCACACATGGATGAAAATAATTAAAAGGGAATGACTATGCGTATACCCTATAAAAAGTTTGACCTACTCTTTATTTACAGAAAAACTATTATTATATATAGTAGAGAAAGCAACTACAATTTAATATTTACATACATTTAACTAATACAACTTAACTATTGACAACATTCCAACAGAAGAGGTATCAACGCGCGAGCACCTATTACAGAGCATATGCTTCGCCGTTGAATCTAATAGCAGCAGACAAACTAACACTAACACACCCACACACAAGCACACACCATGAATGTAATGGGGCGTGGAGAGCCAGTGAGTATGTAGTGAATAGACAACGAGAAGCGTAGCGAGAGCCGTTCCTGTTCCCGCTGCCACCGTCGTTGTTGTTTAATTTCTTTTGAGCACAAAACAATTATCAATTAATGTAGCGTTATGTGCGTCTGCTCTCTCGCTGTGTTTGTGTGTGTGTGTGTGAGAGCGAGTGAATGAGTGGAGAGTGTGAATGTGTGTGGGTCGTCGTGCAAATTAAATTTTTTTAAGCTTCGAAGAAGTACGGCAGAAGAAGAGAGCACAAAAACTGAGCGAGAGGATAAAGAGAGCGGATTGTTGGTGGTTGGAGTTAGTTGCTTAACCAAAACGAAGTTTATTTATTTGACTCGCACAGTGAGTAAATATTTATGATGTGCTAGACATACTTATATGAATGAGTAAGTATGTATGTATGTATGCTGAATGTAAAGCTGATTGCCGTCATTTAAGCAGCGAAATGATTAAGCGTGGGAAGCAGTGTGTGTGTGAGAGTGTGGAGCTGTACATTTTTGCATAATGTGCACTGGTATTTGCTGTTCTGGCCGCTCGAAGTCTTCATCAACATCATAAACTATAAGAATGAATACTTACGAATTGTTGACTGTACTTCGGGGCAGGCACTTGCCAAACTTGTTGACGGCAGCTACAGATGCTGGCTGTTGCAGTTGTTGCCGTTACACAAGTTCCGTTGTTTACCAACCATCCGTTTCGGCATACAGACAGTGGGAGTGGGGGAGAGGAGAGCGAAAGAGAGAGTTTTGTTTGCCTTCTGCAGTTAGAAGGATAGATGAATTTACACTTCACTTTCCCGCAACTCGTTTTCTGTTGACCTATCCAGTTTTGGCCCATACAAATGCGTATATTGGCAACGTTTTGGCCTCGTGCAAAAGTTATTGCGAAACTTCTCAGAATCCATCTTGATAGATCAAATAATTGTAAATTACTCTTAAAGTGTTTAGCTGAAATTTATGCTCTTCTCAATTAAATTTAGTAGCTTTGATGCGAATGGCTCAGCATAGTTGCCGGAAATGGCTTTTCGCATCGAGTATGCATTTCTAATAACAATTAATCGATTTATATCAAACTCGAACTAATTGCACTTTACAGATTTCACAAGAAATATACAGTTAATTCGCAATAAGGTTTCCAACTAATAATTCTTGGAACTAACTAGCTATTCGGTCGAAGCTCTAAGAATGTGAGGAACCACAATTTGCCATATTTGTGTCGTATTTCATATACATGCAGACATACGCATGTACTATGTATGTATGTATGTATGTATATGTCTGTTTATACATATAAACTATTTATTCACACACAATGGGAAGTGGATTAGAAAAATTGAATGAAATTGAACGGGGCTGGGCTCCACAAGTTGCCCATTAAGTTTTCCCAGGATAATCGTCCATTATGTCTGTGTGTGTGTGTGTGTGTGGCATATATTTGTATTTGTTTGTGGCTTCACACACATACACACACACACAGACATGCTGAATAAGAAGCCACGTTAAAAATAGTCGAAAAGCATTATGTCTACACGCGCAATTATCTGCACTTTAAAATTTACATTGCTCAATGGATGGTTCTCTATTTTATATGCCTGTTTGCTTGCGCCTGTGTGTGCATGTGTGTGTGCGTGTTTGTTTACCAACACATGCACAGTGGGAAGTGCACACATAACCTCACCAAGGTTTGGGTCTGACGCCCGCATTTGGTGCAACGGCAGCTAAGTAAGCAGTGCTCAAGACAGAGAGAGAGAGAGAGATAATAAGCAAAAGGCCATGAGAAAGAGAGAGAAAGGCTGAGCTTGCAGAGTAAGTGTGTGTGTGTGTGATGAGAGCTTTAAGGTTAGCATGCCTTATGCACTCATAAAGCAAGCCAGATAGAAAAAGAGAATGAAAGACCACACCAACACACAAGCTCAGACACTTACCCAGACCCACACACTCACACCCGCACCCACACACACACACACACAGTCAGCCACATCCATAGCCACCCAGACCCAGCGAGTCACTAAAAGTCTAAAGTAAAACTTACCAAAATGTTAATTAAATTCCAACAACGAATCAAGTAATTTACAACGACTAAGTCGAAAACCCCAAAGCACCGGCCGTCCCTAGCCCCTAGCTTCAACTACCATCCCTTCCCGCAGTGGTGCCATTTCGTTCCATAACATTTCATGGCCTCTCACCTACACACACACACACACACACACACACACACACGCATAGGGGAGCACACTCTTGGGCCATGACAGTAAAATACGGGATATGCTTAAAGCTAACTGTATTTTCGTGTACGAAGGCGAATGCCTCTAATTCAGCTCCAGCCGAGCTGAAGAGGCGGCCCCACTTTTATCCCCTTGGCTGCTTTTACTGATTGTCCTCGTTGTGTCCCCCCCAAAAACAGGCCGACGACGACGACGACGGCGGCAGCGGCAGAGGCAGCGTTAAAGAATGTGGCGAAAGTTGTAGCAAAAAGCAGAGTGTAAAAGAGACTAAGAGACTAGCGCATGAATGAAACAAATGACTGAGGAGAGTCTCATACTTGATCACATTTCTGCGTGCGTGTGTGTGTGTGTGTGTGTGCGGAGATGAAGAATGTAAAGGAAGAGAATATACATACATATATACAGAGCAAGAGAGAGCTTAGAGTGAGGAAAAAAGAGAGTGAATGAAGGGGAATGAAAAAAAGAAAAAGAGATAAAGATAGAGATAGCTATAGAGAGAGAGAGAGAGAGAGAGAGAGAGAGAGAGAGAGAGAGAGAGAGAGAG